GTTCCAAACTGGTCTATCTATTTTGAAACCTCTCTAGCTATGACAGCTGGCTACATGATTTGGCTTTAGAGAATGCCTACCATCAATCAACCTGACCATTTCTTTTAAAGTTTTTAATCAAAAAATTAATGCAAACAAATGAAAAATGTACATGAAAGGTAATATATAAACAGCCATGGACCAGAAGGCTAAGGTGGGGCAGGGGCAATAAGGAGTGGGGTGGAAGAAAGAATTCTCAAGAGAACATTGACAGTGCCAAGCCAGAAAATGCTGGAATGCTTTGGGGTAGAATTTTTCATTAATGACAGTGAATTAAGCGAACATAAGCTAAAGGAGATGATGAATGAGCATCTGTTTTTCCTGTCATAAACAAACTGGTGAAATTCAAAATCATCTACTTTACAGTCTATGGAAAAAAATACATTGAATAGTGAGATCATTGAATATAGGTAGGGCTATGGATTTTTTTTCTCAACTAAAACTGTGATACAAATAACATTATACTCAGAGCTAGTTTTCTGATTAATGTATAATAGTGTTATCTCCTAGGAAGATTCAAGTACTCTGGCATATTTTTATGGCAAAGTTGTAGTGCCGTTCTCTGTGTGGTGCAAGTATTCTCTATGAATTACACTGATGGGCAGTATTTTCCAAGCTTTGAGAGCCCACAAAGCACTGTTGGAGGGCCAGTTCCATGTGGTAAATGGAGACTATACTCAGAGCACATACAGACAGGAGATTGAGTCCTGGGGACATTAAGTTTCTGTTCTGCCTATGCCCCTAGATGCCTGGGGACCAACTCCCTCCTCTTTGCCACATTCCTAAATGTTAACAGCACTTTTAGGGAAGCCTTAAAACAGGCACATCCAACTCCCAAAAACATGCAGATCCCAAACCTAAACCCGGTGATTCCAGAACCAGCCTGGACCTCCCTAAGCTGATGATCAGATATACCCACCCCAAGGTTAGCACGGTTTCCTTCCCTGGCTGAAGTAGTTATACATTTTGGTAGATAGTCTAATAGTTTTTTCTTCATACTACCTTTCAGTGAGAGCTCCTCCCTTAGGGTGCTAACTAATGCTAACAATGTGCTCCCCCCTCTTTTTGACTAGAAATCTCACTGTGAGTGTGAGCATAACACATGTGGTGATAGCTGTGATCAGTGCTGCCCGGGCTTCCATCAGAAACCTTGGAGAGCTGGAACTTTTCTGACTAAAACTGAATGTGAAGGTATGTTCTTGAGAAGCCAACAGCATGTGTCATTCTTCCTTTCCTGGGACACAGGTTATATAAACATGTGGTGATTTTAGGTAAATTCATATTTCCAATTTATATATTTTATACAAGGCAAGAGCTGGTAAATTCTTTACCCTGCTTAGTTACTCAGCTTTTCAGTTTTTTTTAATATGGCAAATATTTACCAAATATTTATGAATTTACCATTGTGTGAGGATTATGAGAAATAGATAAAAGCATAGTATATACTTGTCATTAGGGTGAACCTGAAGTTTATAGCATAATGTATATATAGACTAATAGAAATGTAAATAAACAAGGCAAAACCTAGATTATTTAGACACTAGCCTTCTAAACACATATATTTATGAAATGGTTCTGAAACATGTATTAGCTCCAGCTTCTTCTAGTTACTCCCTTTGCAGCCCTACAATTTTCCCCCCTCTGTGAGTAAATAGGCTTGGAATACCCATCATCTAAGAGAAGGAGGGAAATCAGAAGGGAGAGATTATACCCCAAGTCAGAGCCAGTTTATTACCTGAAAAAAAAAAGCCTATGCTTCATTAGTTATAATTATAAAGGGTGGCTTTCGGGGGCAGGAGCTGGGAAGGATACAAGAGTAAAAGGTAACAGAGAAGGCAAGAGATCAAATTTGTGGAAAATAAATACTTAATAATAGGCATTAATATTTTAAATATATGGATTATCATTAATGACAGTAGTATAAAGCTGGTAATATAAAAATGGCATCAGGGATACTCACTAGTATAAACTAAGCTATAGCAATTATTGGACAGTGACCACCAAGAAAAAAGCCAGTAACAAAAAATAGTAAAGTGACAGGCTGTGCAAATGTGTCAACAAATAGTCATTTGTAATATCACTTTGAAGACAACCCATATGTCTAGTTTTTACTGAAGGGAAATACCTAAGAAGTATGGAAGATGATTTTATAGCCTAATATATAGCCCAATATGGTGACAGGGGTACTGGAGAAACATGTTTCAGGAGATTTTCTCAGGCCAAGAAAAGACTTAAAAATAGACTTGTGCTGAATGTAAACCCAAACTAGTCTGAAGCCCAATTCAACTGAATTCAAATATTAATATTTTAGTGAATCAGCCCTAACCACATTTTTTTTTTCAGTTCTTTAAGTATATTTGGCTTCAGACAGGCTTGGTAGACATTTTAAACTAATACCAAACAATACAATATAACAACTATTCACAAAGCATTTATATTGTTTTAGCATGATAAGTAATCTAGAGATTATTTAAAGAATATGGGAGGATGTGCACAAATTACATGCGGATACTACACCATTTTATATCAGGTACTTGAACATCCGTGGATCTTGGTATCCAAGGGAGGTCCTGGAACCCATCCCCCACAGATATCAAGGGATGACTGTATTTTCTTTTCAGTTTTAGATTCTGCATATGCTATCAATGTCTTGAGTTCCGTCATTTTCTGCACTCACCTCATTTGCTTTCTGATTGTGTCTGCCTGCTTGTAAAGATATTATGGATTAGAAATATCCCATCATCACTGAGACATATTTGGAGGCATGGGCCGTCATTGGACAGGCACCCACCGTTGTAGGGGGCCACTGGAGGCCTAGCCTTTGTTTTTGTTCTACTACTTTTAGCCCTGTTCTGGCTAATCCCTCAGTTTTCAAAGCTTCTCCATAAAAAGCAGACATTCTTTCCTAAGAGTGACTTTCAACGAAATGCCACCCAGGGATATTTACTCTCAAACTTCTTTAAATTTTAATTAAATTTCTCTTATATTTGTGGAATGTCAGCAATCACAAGTGGGAGCAGAATTGCTATTAAAGGTAGGGATTCTTCCTATTTCCACTGACATCCTATCATACAGTTATAATTATGTGAAGTAGATCTGCAAAATCCTTTCACACTTGTGTATCTGTGTGTAAACACAACACAAAAAGAACAGACCAACTTGTTAGCAACAGAGGTAGATGAAGCAAAGCAAAAGATTGCCACTTGCTACCATATACATTTTTTAAATAGTGGGATTATGAAATAATTTTTTTCTTTCTTTGTAGGGGAAAAATGTGTATTTTCCCAAACTGAATAATAAACATTTTAAAAACCTAGAAATTAATGATGAGGGTCTTAACCATAAAACCTTAGATAAACATCACACTTTTGTCAATATATGCATTCCTATAAGCCCATATAAAAATTTTCTTTTCTAAGTTGAATTTTATTCCAATCACCTTAATAAAAATCCTTCTGTGACATGACAAATCCCTCCATAAAATGAACAATTGCCTTTTGATTCATTTGAGTTTAATTTGGATTTTCATCAATCTAGCTTACTTAAGGCAAGATATATCTTTAAAGATACATGAGGAATAGTTTTATATTATATGTCTTGGACATTCTGTGAAATGGTAAGTTGCTGATGACAGAGCAAAATAAATGGCTCTTTGTGAGCAGGTATTATCCGTGTCCTCTGAGGCTACAGTCAGAGCTGGGCTGGATGCAGTGTATAGACAGCAAGCAGGGCCGTTGGCAGAGGGTCCTGGCTGCATGGAGTGTGAGAAGGACTGTTGCTAAGGCATCAGTGTTTTACTTACATCAACTCATAGTTCTAAATAGTTGTGACAACACTAATTCTAAATAGTGTGAGAATAAATTTGTATTATTCTATATTTCTATTGGCAGCAGAAATTTTGACTGTTTCTTGTAGTATATTTTTACTAAAGAGTTCTTAAGAATTCATAGCTGTGTGGTGGTGTGCATTCTATAATCCCAGCTACTCAGGCGGCTGAGGCGGGAGGATACCTTGAGCCCAGAAGTTTGAGACCAGCCTGGGCAACAGGGCAAGACTCAGACCCATCTCTTAAAAAACACAAAAAAAGAACTCTTGTGTATTGTCCTCGTTGTGTAAGACTGCTTATAATGCCTAGTGGTTAATAGTTTTTACTTTGTGTTTCCTAGAATAAAGTTTGAAACTTTCCATTAATATAGCAAAAATACTATATTCTAAACCAAAATTCAGCAGATTGTGTAACGTATTTGCAACAAACATGACAATAGGATAATATCCTTACTGTATTAAGAAATATTACATATCAATAAGAAAAATTCAATAAGCCTTTTAAAAATGAGCAAAGATCAAAATATATTTCCAGAAAAGAAATAATTTATAACCCTATAAAAACATGATCACATTCATAATTAAGGAAGTATGAATTAAACAATGAAAATATTTTTAATTTATCAAAGTGTTTATTCATCCACTCGACAAATATGTCCATTCAAGTAGTACCCTGTATAGCCTTAGGGGATACATGTGCTAATATGGAAAGAGCTCTGTGATTTACTATTAGTAAAATGAAGCAGTTCGAAACAACATATAAATGGCCTTCTCCCTTTGTGGAATAAGCAAAAAGATTGGACTGTATGCATACGTGCATTCCTGTACACACACATACGTGGAAATCAATGTAAGGACACATAAAAAAAATCAACATAAGGTAAGAATGAGACTGCATAGATATCTTTACCTAGTTCCCATCCTAATATAACCTAATACAAATTTTTCATATTTTTCAAAGCCTTACCCAGTCCTTTCTGGTGAAAGTGATTTTTTACTTCTTTGAATTCCTCTAATGAAACATGAAAAAGACAAGGAGGTTGAAGAGGAGGAAAAATCAATTGAGAACTTATTATAAGGCATCATGCTGATGATTTTACGTGCATTATCTCACTTGGTGCTTTTAAATATCCCTGTCTAGTCATTACTGTTGACCACCTCATGTTTTATATGGAAACTGAGCCTTAGTGAAATTAAGAAGTTCCCAACCTCACATGACTAAGTGCAGAGGGCACCCAAATCCAAGACTGTGTGCTGCAGAATTGCGTGATCTTAGCCACTAAGCAAACTAACTCTCGGTTTGTCTTGATTAGTTGACACCTTTCTTGTGTTTTATCTCACTTGCCAGGTACAATGTGAAGGGATTCTGGCAGATTTTAGCAGTGCAGATTCTACACTGCACTGACTTCAGAGTTTGGTCTCCAATACTGATTAGGTTACCTTTTGCCAGTTATTTCATTTCTGTCTCAGGTTTCTAATATAACGAAAAGAGGTTAATACTAATACCTGATTCATAAAGGCATTTTGAGGATTAAAATTAGTGGTAATAAATATGAAACACTTAGAACAGAACTTTGCATTGAAAATAAACAACTAAATAAGTTTTAGTTACTATTAGTAGTAAAAGGAAGGAATTGTATCCTACATATTCTTTTTTACCCATAGGATCTAACACAGAGATTCCCATACAGTAATTACAGATCACCTGGCTGTTAATCATTCAGTATAATCATTCAATAATCTATTGTTTGTCATAATAGAAAGATATAGATTGAACTATGCAAAATTCCACTTTTGTAAATCAAAATCAATCAAATATTGGCAATTTCATATGATTCAGCTTAATTTACATATTTTAATTATTTCAAATTTCATTAAAATATGGTAATTTATGAATACAACCAACAAATCCAGATACTTTCTAGATAATTTTTTGTCTGTGTATGCTAAATGAATGTAATTTCCTATATAGTATAAAAAATCTATTATGTATAACAAAAATGATTTTTAAATGTATCTGAAACCTATAATTAATATTCATTATTTTTTCTAATGTAGCATGCAATTGTCATGGAAAAGCTGGAGAATGCTATTATGATGAAAATGTTGCCAGAAGAAATCTGAGTTTAAATATACATGGAAAGTACATTGGAGGGGGTGTATGCATTAATTGTACCCAAAACACTGCTGGTATAAACTGTGAGACATGCATTGACGGCTTCTTCAGACCCAAAGGGGTAAAGTATCCCTTTTCTTTCATAAAGCATTATTTTTGATTTTTTAATACAAAGATGTATCATACAGAAAAATAATTTTGAAAGCTTCGCTAAAAAGTTGAACTTCAAATTCTAAACAGTGACTAGGGATATTTCATAGTTGAAATATGCTATATACTGATATATTTCCATCACTCCAGAAAGTTCCATCGTGCCTCATTCCAATCCATCCCCATCCCCAGGCAAACTCTGTTCTGATTTTTAGAGCATAAATTAGTTTTGCCTCTTAGTGAACTTCATAAAAATGAAATTATAGTACGTACTAGTCTGTGTCTTCCTTCTTTCACTCAACATGTTTCCATGTTCTTTATACATCAGTAGTTCTTTTTTTCAAAAAAAAAAAATTGTTGAGTAGTATTCTTCGACATGAACATACCAAAAATTTTAATCCATTGTCCTGTTGATGGATATTTGGGTCATTTCTAGTTTGGGGGTTAGCTCCTACAAATGATTTTATACTAATCTTTTTGTAGTCAGGTTTTATACTAGTCTTTTTGTAATCATGTATTTATCTTGTGTAAATGTGTAGGAGTAGAAGGCTTGTTTCATAGAGTGGGTACATGCTTGACTTTGTAAGAACCAACATTTGGCCAAATTAATAGTAATGTATAACATCTTCGCCAAAATGGCATATGTGTTCCAGTTGTTTCATATCATATTTAATATTTAATGTTGACTATCTTTTTGAATTTTAGCTATCTAGTGGGCATGAAATGGCATCTGATTATGGATTTAATTTTCATTGGAGGTGCTTATTGGCCATTCCCATATCTTCTCTTGTGAAGGGTCTGTTCAAGTCAAGATATTGTTTTTTTTTATTCTAGAAACTTAATAATTTTAACTTTTAGGCCGATGGTCCAAATCTTAGTGTGTAGTGTGAAATAATGATTGAGATTTATGCTGTATTCTAGTACCATTTGTTGAAAATCAATCGATTTTATATTATTCATATACACGGGTCAATTTTTGGAGCCTCAGTTATGTTCTATGGATCAATTTGTCTATCTTTGAGCTAAGACCACACTATCTTGATTAATTTAGCTTTTAGAAAGCCTAGAATTCAGGTATTACGAGTACACTACCTTTATTCTTCCTTTTCAAGGTTATTTTGTCTTTCATAGTTTTTTGGTGTGTCCATACAATTTTAGAATCAACTTGTCAATTATAAAATAAAATACTAGGATTG